TTTTCCTTCTTTGTCTCAGTAGCTGCCTGGAGCAACCAGCTGTGGGAGGGGGAATTAGAAAAATGAGGCAATGTGTATAACAGTATAAACTGGATTAGTCTCGCTCTGTCAGTCATTCTCTGGGCTCTTTGTGAAGTAAATGAAAACCCAAGTTACAGCCTTCCTTCATGAGCTACAGGGGATGCAGCAATGACCTGGTGGAGGTTATTAAATGGTATATTTTAGGTGCACACTGCTAGCCAAAATCACCATTGACTTAGAAAAACACAAAGCTGTGTAGGGGAATTTTAGAGCCATCTGCTTGCCATCAAAGCAGGTGAGTTTTGCAACTATTCTATAGAAAACAACCTCAATCCTTTCTAGAAAAGCCTTTCTGATTTTCAATGTGGGAGTTCTGTCTTGGTTCCACAGATCAGATTCGGCTTTTCCTCTTGAAGTACCATACAAATATGTTAATATTAAAAATAATGAGCAAGGTAAAAATCTAGAACTGGCAGCATCCTTAGAATCAGTTGTCTTTGTTGATGACAATATTTTGTCTGATATTTTCTAAAAGGGCCTAAGGTTCACTATAAATGTTTTATTGTCACTTTCAATTTTTTGGTCACTCTCTTTTCAAAAATTTTACACAGTTCTGGGTTTGGGTATTTTTTAAATGGAAACATAGAAAGAGTATTAATTACATTCTCTGTTTGAAGCCCATGTTCAGACCTTCAGCATTCTTGCTGTTTCTATAAAAAGAAGCATAACTGTGTATATCCTTCAGTTAGCATCTTTCTCACCTATTTAATAGATAGTCTGAATAAGTCTAATTTGTTTTGTGTCTTTTGTTGCCTGTAATAGATACAATTATCAATTATGGGGAATTTACAGTAAGACAAGGGCATGACTGTGAAGGAACAGCAGTTGTGGTTAGGTCATATAAGTTATTTTTATGCCTCTGAAACTTTATTTTTCTTTCTTTGTTTTGTTTTGTTTTTTGGTTTTTTTTCTTTTTAAAATCAGAGTGGAAACATTATGAGCTTGGGGAACAGCGTTATGAGAACATGAGAGTATGATAGGCAGGGTCATGCTGCATCCCTGACTGACTGGGGAGGTGTTGAAGTAACAGGAAGTTTTTATGCAAAGCACCAACATGGGTTTGTGGATGTCTGTGCAGCGGGGGG